ATATAACCTTATAATCATTGTGTTGTTTAATAGATGGTCAAAGAATGATAAGTACAAAGTGTATAAGATTTTTTCCAATAATTAATTTGAACCATTGGTTTATTATACTTGACATATAACCCATCGAATGATCACCTCTATGATTTTCCAAACTTTCTTACTGCTCCTGGCCACGGACTATGCATTGTCGTATCTTTAATGCCTGCGTTTCATTCATGTTTTGAGTTGTGTTGCAACTTAATGGCTACTTAATATAGGTATCATACTATTTGCCTCGGCACATGGATCTTTCTCACCTGGGAACACCTGAAGATGAAGTGAGTCGTATAGCTGAATCTAAATCATGAAACTTCTAGTCCCGGATGTACTACTGAAGAGACTGTTCACTGGTACTGTTCGGACGTTTACTTTTTGTTTTATACTTATTGAAATGGAGACCAAAGATATGAAACACCTTTATTTTCAGACTGAGAAGTACTTTGCAATTCTCTATTCTGCATTACCGATGCAGATTTTTTGGAAACGCGCTATTTAAATACCACTGTTCAGACATTTCAGAGAGTTCCTTACATGGCCGCCGCATCATGCCATGCAACAGGTAGTATAATACGTCCATCATCACAATGTCGGAGACCCAGCAGTTAAAATATCTTGCTCAGATTCTGATTAGGCACATGAAAGACTACAGGAGTTGGTAACTATTCTTGGGTTTTCGAAAACATCATTGTTAATAGTTCGTCTTTCGAGAAGTCCGTGGTGAAGACTCTGTCGGGTATATCAACTTGACAAATACCAGCGCACCATCGCATTCATTTCGGATCGTATTAACATGGTTCTCATGAGAGTTTGAGGGACTTCAATTTAACGACTCAGTATATATTATATATTTCCAGCTATCGTTCACAGAAGCTTTCCAATTTATGTATTAGGTCTTGGACATTGAGCATTTGCACGGGTTGCATTTCTAAGGTGCCCATGCAAGAAGATTTTGTGTCCGGTATCCCTTTTGCACCAACACCAACATCAAGGATCAAAACAATAATTTGGAACTTGTTAAGCACGGAGATGAATTAGTGAGCTGGCCTTATCAGATGGACACAAAAAGTTCAAAGCCCACAATTCTTAAGGTGAAATACACCTGATCATATGATCTAGAAGGAATGTTGGTTTTTTCAACTGTAAGTGCTAAGTGGTTTTTTTCAACAGTTGAAAAAACCATGATTGTTTAATTCGTATACGTTGCGTGCAAACTTTGAGATAGCTTATAGCGAAGGTTCTGTGTTGGTTTCCATTTAGCTTGTAAAAGGAAACTGACGGTGCTTGGAACAAAAGAACGGACGGAATACTTCCATAAGCAAACAAAGTAGACGCCAAATTGAATCCAGTCAATCTAGACATTGATAAAGAAGACTATAATTTGCGTTGTGGTAAACCATTATATTCCCACAACATTGCAAGACATGCGCATCTATATACATGTAGAATACTTTCTGGCCTTGCCTATAGTCAGTCTTTGTCTCAAGGTCGATAGTATCGCATTTAATCTACCGGATATGTCATGTGACCACATCAATTCTGTAAATGTGTATTGTTTTTCAAATGTCTTACTTTGGAGGTTTTTCTTACGGGGTTCTAAACGGGGAGCTTTAACATATTTTTTGGATCAATTTCCCAATGATGACGTTGTCTGAGGGTGCGACCACATGTATCTTAAAGTCTTCTTCTTATGGGCTCTCAACGTACTCACCACAGGAAATGGGCATGGATGCAGTTCAGGTCGAAGATTAATATTAAAAGACTAAATCCTTTCAGAGAAAACATTGCTTTAATAAAAGTATCCACAATGCTTTAAGAAACTTGAGTTTGCTAATTTCAACGATTTCGGTTATGGGCCAAAAAGTCTGAAGCCGATGTCCGGCAAGCGATAGCTCATGATTGCAACTTACGAGCATCTCCACCGGATGTTTGAGGGGGCTCTTGACAATAACTTCACAGCTATCTGGATCAACTTTCCGTCCAAATTGTCATCGATTGCGAGCGTAACAGATGTGTTTCAGAATGTGCATTGTTTAGAGAGCTATAGAAATAGGATCTGTATCAATTTCAAGGAACTGGTTCCAACCGCGCAGACAGAAAGAAACCTTTTGATGGTTTTGAATACATTTGGTCAAACCACAATCATCGTAAAAGGTTTCCCATTATCTGGATACACACACGTTTCAGGAATAGTCGAAGACCCATAGGTGCCTAAAGTTCGAGATAAACTGCATCACGTGTCTATCTCGTGATCGTTGAGCAAAGTACAGGGTAAGTACGAGTACAGTCAAGGAATTAGTAAAATTGGCCGTAAATAAGCTTGGATTATTGCTTCTCTCGAGCTGGTCCGTCACTTGCGTCTTCATCGACATGATTGTCGGTGGAAGTCACAGAGTATGAATTCAATTGGGAAGGAGGAGCATCATGAAGCTTGGAAAAGGGAAGGGCTCGACGGATTTGACGCATCGCTTTTTGAACTAAACAGGCTGCAGCTATACAGAGCCAGCATTTGTCCTTTGTGTTTTGATGGTGCTCCTTGTAGTGTTCATAATGATTCACACACGGACTAGACTGTGCTTCGTCACTGGAACTCCGATGCTGGACTGGCCAAACGGCTTCCGAAAAGGTTCGAGCAACGTGGAGATGGCAGAAGACCACCACATCGTGTCTCGCAAACCTACCCTCGGCAGCACACACATTTGACCTCATCCTCGGCCCAGTACAGCAGAAGGATCCTTGTCCTGTTTTCGACCGTTCAGATTTCCCGCGATGCCATGCGATATCTCCCTTTCTCTTCAAGTCTTTTTGCTCGTAGCTCGTGGCGTCCGCTCCCCTTCGTGATGAGAGCAGACGCGATGCGAGCTCTCTCGTATCATCGGCCTCTGACCCTCCTCTTCAATGTTCTGCCTGCAACGGAAAGCGAAGCGAAACCGGGCGCTGTCCCTTAATTCCCGAACCACGTGGCGCATCAGCCAACTCATCGCTCGTCGTCGCCATTGTCGACACCGATAAGCGGCATGCCATTTCCACCAAGCAAGCTCCCGGAATAAAGGGAGAAGGAGATGCAACCGGCATCCAGCGGACCAAGGACCCTCGGGGGCGGGGGGATGTCCCTGCGTCCCTGGCCCCCGCACCCAACTCTCGATCCAGAGCAATCGGCAGGAAGTGGAACGTGACAAGAATGCGGTTGTTGTTGGGATTGAGTACGCATTCCGGCAATCTAACATGTATGCCATCTTTCTGCTGCGAGCGACTGACATGACATGTGATGTTGAGAAGAGTCACCAAACTGCGATGCTGTCTTCTTGTGAGAAACAAACAACACATACATTAGTAAGCTACAGACTGTTGATCTTTACGAAACACGGCTTCAGCGGAAAGGAACCACCAACTATTCCTTTAACATTACCGGAATGTCTATCTACAAAATCCATGTGATACGATCGATTCACCCAACTTCGCCATGTCTTGTAGTGTATTAAGATGGGAGAATCTCGGGTAGTCATTGCTAACTTGGCGGTTGTTCGAAATGCTCCAAGCGCCAGAGAGCATCTCTTTCAGGTGGTTTAGTCACCTAACTATGCAGCGTGAGACTCGTCCACTATATTCCAGGAAACTGCACAGCTTCGCATCCTCCCAGCTCATCTAAAATAGCAGTTGTTGAATCAACATGGGCGAACTATCTGATTATCTTGAGAACAGTTCCGTTCATGGTTGAAAAGGACGTCTAGACTTTTTCATTTCTAATGACAAGAGTTCCAGTCGTTCACACTTCTTCCTCGTAAGATAACAACACCGGTATTGGAGTTGCAGAGTTTTCATATAATCCTTTCTTTTTTTTGCCCAACGGAATCCGAAAGAGTTCCGAGCATGTCATCTTGGCGCGGTTCTTGCTCACAAGAAAATATCAACTAAAATACAGGGATCAACTGTTAGTGCGCATATTCTAATTGATCTCATCCAAGTCTCACCACTTTTCTGCCAATAATTCTTGACAAATTTTCACACGAAAAAGTTCTTTTAATATAAACGTAATATCTCCGTACACTCTGAGCTTACATGGAGTAGACTCGATTGCGTCCAATGATCACTTAATTATCCAGTAATCTTTGTTCACGAAGAACACCTACGTAATTTCTGATCTAGACTGATAAAGAAAAGACCTTTAATGAAGGGTCTTTTGTTTATCAGTCTGTAGCTTTGAACCTTGAAATGCTGTCGTCGCCTCTAACAAGAAGAGAACAGAGCGAAATTATACACTTAGTCCTGGACAAAGGTCAACATGATAGATGAGAAGAATGATTGACTTTCGGAGTTATAACTCAACTCCTTACACATGTCGATACAGAGTCAGGTCACGTCTTCAATATATTTACAGTACAGTGCAATATCTTTAACCCAGCTCTCACCTTCTGATACGACATTATACACCATTTGCATCTTGTTGAAGATCTAAAACTAGGTGCAAATGATGGGCACACCTGGAGGGAATACAGCGTTGTACATATACGAATACGAATGTATCAAACAGGCAACTACCGTATGGCAGGAAAGGTCAATACAGGAAAGTCTGCTTGAGCCGCGTTCGGTGTGCATGAGTTAGTGAAGGTAACAACGATTGATGGCTGCAGAATGAACCACCGAGCTACGGAGTCAGAGTAGCCGTTGTAGGGTGGGTACGATTGGAGGAGCCGCTACAATGACCGGATTCTGCCGGTAGAGAACGCTATTCTTGTGTATGTGCACGCGGCGGCGGCCTGCTGGGGATGGAACTACAGAGAAGCTCCGGTACCTCTAGCAGCAGGAGGACGTCCCTCTGCCATGTCGCCGGCTCTCAGTCCATGCATCAGATGCACGATCGACGATGATAGATGACGACTGTGGGCACCCCTCGTTCCCAAAGGGAGCCCGCGAGCAAGGGATTATAAAGCCAGAAACAGATGTGTTAGAAACAAAGCACACAGCAGCGGCAGCAGTTCTACATCTGCTCTACGTCTGTGCTCCACCAACTCGCACTTGCTGTCCAGTATCAGACTACAATCTGACTTGTCTCTCGACAACGAAGACCTGTCAACTTCCTCCTGTTTTCCACAACTGAAGAGTGTGTAAACGCTCACAGGAGACCCAACAGGCCCGAGGTAGCTCTTCCTCAGCTGCAACGATGGCACCCCAGGCAGTCGATGCAACTTGCGCAGCTGAGACTGCTTCAGCGGTCCCCATGAGCAGGCCCCGCCTCATCGCCCAAGCTGTAGGTCCAGCCACCGTGCTGGCCATGGGCAAGGCTGTACCCGCGAACATTTTCGAGCAGGCAACATATCCTGATTTCTTCTTCAACATCACCAACAGCAATGATAAGCCTGCATTGAAGGCCAAATTCCAACGTATCTGTAAGTTCTCTTTCTCGACACTGAAATGCGTCCTCTACAAGTCCGAATATAGCTCCAGCGAGGCACATGTGCCTCGATTTTTTCTAGTGTGTCACTGAAGATCTGGTATTGACTGCGTATACGAAGAATTGGCTCAAATTCTCTGTTGCATTGTCCTTTAGTATCGTCTCCGAACGAAGTACGTGTGACTTCATTGAGTTAGCCGATCTTTCGGTATATTTGTAAATATGCATGGCAGTGTGAAAAGCTTCATCTCTACAGGATACAATTCGTCTGTCCTGACTCTTCCGATGTATACATGTCGCTAGTCAACCAAAACGTTTCTTGCTAATGCACGCAGTCTTAGGATGTATAGCCACTCAGGGCTGTTTCTACTCGCGCTTTATGCGTGTCTTTAGAAAGCAAGACCCTCTCAATTTGGAAGCGGAAATGTGAGTGTTTGCCTCCTGCCTAACATTCACTCTTGTAACAGGTGACAAGTCTGGCATCAAGAAGAGGCACTTTTACTTGGACCAAAAAATCCTTGAAAGCAACCCCGCTATGTGCTCCTACATGGAGACCTCTTTGAACTGTCGTCAAGAAATTGCCATCGCCCAGGTGCCGAAGTTAGCAAAGGAGGCGTCTTTGAACGCCATCAAAGAGTGGGGTAGACCCAAGTCAGAAATCACCCACATTGTCATGGCCACAACCAGCGGAGTGAACATGCCGGGAGCGGAGTTGGCAACTGCGAAGCTGTTGGGTCTGCGACCGAATGTGAGGCGCGTCATGATGTACCAGCAAGGATGTTTCGCCGGTGCCACAGTGTTGCGAGTCGCCAAGGATTTGGCGGAAAACAATGCTGGCGCCAGAGTTCTTGCTATCTGCAGTGAAGTTACTGCCGTTACGTTCAGAGCTCCCTGTGAGACCCATATCGATGGCCTCGTCGGATCTGCGCTCTTCGGAGACGGCGCCGCTGCCGTCATTGTTGGCTCTGACCCCAGACCTGGCATTGAGCGACCAATGTACGAGATGCATTGGGCAGGGGAGATGGTTCTTCCCGACAGCGACGGTGCTATTGACGGTCACTTGACAGAAGCAGGTCTTGTATTCCACCTGTTGAAGGATGTTCCCGGACTGATCACGAAGAACATTGGAGGGTTCCTTAAAGACACTAAGAACCTGGTAGGGGCCTCTTCGTGGAACGAACTTTTCTGGGCCGTACACCCAGGAGGTCCAGCCATTTTGGATCAGGTGGAGGCGAAGTTGGAGTTGGAGAAGGGCAAATTTCAGGCCAGTCGAGATATCTTGTCTGATTACGGAAACATGTCTAGTGCATCTGTTTTGTTCGTGCTCGACAGAGTGAGGGAAAGGTCATTGGAGTCAAACAAGAGCACCTTCGGCGAGGGTAATGAGTGGGGATTCCTCATCGGGTTCGGGCCAGGTCTAACGGTGGAGACTCTGCTACTGCGAGCTCTTCCCATGCAGCAGGCGGAGAGTGTCTAAGACGAAGTGCCTCCTGTACATACCTTCCGGTCTGACGATTTTCAATGAATCTTCCGACGACTGAGTTGGAGCTATCACTTAACGATTTTTTGAGCTGGATTTGACTTCGGTAGATGGAATACGAGCTACAACACCTGCATAGAAGTAGTCATGTCATGAGTTGGAATCAGAGTGGGTATGATTTTACCGCAGCTTCAAAATCAGATTCCGATATTGCTTCACTGAAGCTTAAACTGCTCTGCAACCTGAAGCTGGCGGGTAGTTTAACATGGTAATGTCAAGCTTTTGCTCACTCGCAATACCTGTAATTCTCTGACATCTTAGTAGGTAAGTTCTAGCCGGTTCTATGGAGAGTTGACTGATTGAGAGCTGAAGAGGAGTATTCATCCTTAGTATTCATTGAGCGAGTGCGCAGTAACGCTTAGATAGTGAAGGATGACGAAAAATTCTTCGCTCACATCAACCTTCAACCAATATGGAGTTGGTGTATAATTAGGAAGGATGGAAAGTTTCCAAAATGTTCTCATCCGTGGTAGCAACGATTGTTGTAGGATTTAGTAGCAGATATTTAAGGAATCTCTCATATGTTAGAAACATATGTGTGAGCTGATTTTTTATTGGGAATTTGTACCCAAAGTGCGAATCGCACATACGATTTACTGTTATCATATGTGGCTCAATAAAAAATCCGGCCAAAACGATGAATTTACATCAAATATCACAGTTAACCATTTGAAGTGTCAAGTTGTGGAATCCTTACATCATTTACTCGTTATGTGCAATTAATCCGCTTACGAATTGTATTGCCGGTGATGATGATGATTTATTCTCCTATGTCAAAGAATATGTTTAGATAGCTCTCACTCACTAGAGATAATTCTCTTATTGGTTTATGCAGGATTATAATATACGTGTGTGAGTAGCAACGACTTCTACGATAGGGTTTTCCACAATCCAGAGAATATATAACAGCAATGCCAATTAGCCCCGAGCCAACTATAACTATATTCTCTCTACATAAATCTCTAATGTTATAAAGAAAATATAGAAACGTAAACATTGTTAACGTTGAAAAAAATCAAATTTAAAACAGTGCATGTTCTAAATGTATACAGACTATATAGACACCTATAAAGTGTATAGAGAAAAAGAAAGAAAAATTCACTTTTGTCGCTAACTGTCCCCTGGGAACACGTGAAAAGGGAAGGAAATTCATTTACAATATTTCTGATGTAAACAGTACACTGCTGTATCGGACAGAGAAATTACATTTAAAATTCATTTTATAACTTAATCATATATAAACAATGGATTATATGAATATACGCAAATTTGTTGTCTGTACGACACTGTGAGGAACCATGAGGATTGAAATGACTTGTGTACAACTAACCATTATGACGTGTAGAAAACGACAAACGTAACAGAAGTGATTAGATAGGTAAACAAAAATGGAATGAAAATGATGTACTGTCAATAATGCAGAAACTATGTCCACGACGATGCTCCTCGACGGCAGAAAGACCTATTTTCGAAGATTTTAATCCACCAGAAAACATAATTGACAATCGAATGTCTCAGTGAATCCAACCAGATCGTCAAAACATGTACAAACAACGTCACGACAAATCATCTTTCACTCTGCAACAGATTCACAATCCAAAATTCTCTCAGCGGACAGGGCTCCTTCCGCTCTGACATGTCGTGAGCAACTTAAGTAACGAAACCATCTGAACCTATTCTACTGTACACAGTTTTCGCAGTACTGATGGGACTTCTGACCTTCTGAGAAAAAATATATTACATACAGAAACGCGGAAAAGGCCAGTCCAGTACAAGGACCAGATGCGAAATCACTCGTAGTTTAATTGGTTCCGATCAAAGATATAAAGAGTGGGTCAAATGTATACAAATTTCTCAAAGCATACACCAGAAATATCTAGGATGCCATTGCTTCAGTTGCATGGCTTGATGCTTGAGCGATTTGTTAGTAGTAGCTGGAACTGGTTGTGACTGAATGAATAAATTAATGACGTCACAGTTGAAGGCCCTCCACCCATACGAGCACATCATTACAATATAAGATAAACTCACTCTTAGTCTTGCAAGTTGCAAATCTAACTGAGAGCCGTACGTCTGTACAAATGGAATGATTAAAGTGCATGCATATGCAAGACTGCACCACACAAAAACTTCAAGTACCAAAAGAGACAAAAAAAATACCCCAAGTTGATACGAAAGTACAATAAACTTTGATGATGGAATGGATGTGTTTGGTCACTAACAAGTCCACAAATGACACATGGTAGATATTATTTCAGAACTTAAGGAGATTTTTGAACGATGATCATGGTCTCATATTGCTGAAGGGTCTTCAATATCCACTTGTTGAAAAAAGTTGTCAACATAGAGATATATACAAATGTCAAGTTTGTTGCATGGACTGCTGATCAAATCAACTCATCAAGCTGACATTGGAGACCATAAAAAGTCTCAAAGATAAAATGTGAGAAAGCATGCGTGTGACAGCTACAAGCATAACGCGCCTTCTTGTAGTGTGTTTCCATCGTCCGTGCATTCCCTACCTGCAATTCTGTTGTCAAGAAAAGATCATGTCATATTTTATCCAACAGGTATATTATATTTATCCAACGCACGTTACGGACTCTAATGATATCCGCTTGCTGTCTTTCAAAAGGTCTTGAAAATAATCTTAAACTTAAAATCGGTTGTGTCATAATATAGGTCACTTTACAATGGAGATGCACTTCTCGGACTGCCTTAGTATTTCTCTGCCCTTCAATCAGGAAATGAATCCTTGTATTCTTAAAAGTCATTATGCAACCACATGTGGATTTAAAAAAAAAGTGAAGAAGGGTATTAAAACCAATTAAAATATTTACAACCAATCTAAATTGTGGGCTACAACATGCATGCTTTGGGAATGAGGGAAGGTGCACTAAGCTGAACGCTGCAGCAATCCCTGCCTCCTCATAATTTCACCGCCTAAATATATTCATACACTTCAATAATGATATTAGTCAAGAAATTTTACTGTATGCGCTAAATTAAAAACTCTCAACTCACAAATCTGAAACAATAAGGTTTTGAAAGCTGAAAAATTATGAAAATGTAAATCACACACTTTAGTAAAGGCATTTAGCATCAGTGCCGGAATGCCTTGGCGATATTCAAGTAAATGTTTAAGTATTAGAGATCATTTTCATCAAGGATGCTTTGATCACAAGGAAGATGAGGGTATAGTAAACATGCTTCATGAGACAAAGCTAGATAAACATACTTTTCCTCATGTTTGTCATGTAAAATGGGTAATCAGATGAAATCTCCTATCAAACTCAACATGACTTCCTCGGTCACCACAAGTAGAGGAAAGATTCCATTGTCTACTAAGGGAGAATATAACATGGCTTGAATGTTAAGCTCGTTCTAATTTGAGATGAAAAACGTAGATGACTACTGTTTAAAATAGTGGATCAATATTAGAAAGTCAACAACAGTAGATGCAGAGACATGATAGATTTAATTCGAATGATGTAGATGTTACATCTCTTGATGAAATTTATCTTTATCCTTGTCCATGTGAGAGCTAGGTCAAGAGCAAGATTAAATACACTCATAGAAAGAAATTTGAAGACGTACAATGTACATAATATGCATCGAGAGTGCATTTTATGAACAAACTCACATCCCTTTAAAGGATGATGATGAGCCATGATGTGAACTGGTAGAGGTTATTTATGATGCATAAGTCTGGTGGATGATGTACATTTTTTGAACTCTAAAACATTAAAATATATAGGATTGTTTTATGATCTTGTCAACTTTTACTTCTATCGCATTCACATAAGTTTTATAGTCAGCACAAAATGATTAAAATCTTACTTGATTTTCTTACATCATAATCATTTCTTTTAATGTTATAAGAATGATCATTTTAAAATTTTAACAATCTTCCAAAATAGTTCTTTAGATTTGACTACAACATCTTTTCATGACAAATAATTTTGAAGATGATATTTTTTATCATGTTTTATGATAAAACATGACAAAATTTTTAATGATGCAGTATTTTTGCAAAAATACTGCATCATTAAAGATTTTCTTTTTTTTAGATAGTTGCTTATCATATAATAAAAAAATCATAAAATATGTCAAACTATTTTCCTAGTTGATCAGATTTTTTTAATCTCAAATTATTTTCTTTGTATAAACTTGCTCTCACAACAAAAACACATTACTTTAATGTAAAACAATCATCACATACAGCTCAAATCAGATATTCAATTTTTTGAAACCTTACAATGGGCATGATAATCATATTATTCATGCTTCTAACTAAAATTTGAATTTTCGGAAATATTTTTTGAAATAAAATTTGATTTATGAATAAATAAAATGAAATATAAATGGATTAATTTGAAAAATATGGTTAATTTTTTAATTATTATTTCATGTAATCAGATTTTTTTCAAAAAACTATCAATAACGTTTTGCATGAAGATTTTTTCAAACTAAATTATCTTTGAACAAAAAAAATTTGAACTGACTTTGATTGTGCGGTTTTAATTTTTAAAAGACTTTATAAGAAATAAGATATTCAAAAAATGAGAATTTTAAATTATATATAAAAATTTGAATCAATATTCTATACAAAATTTGTAATGAATTGTTTTTGGATAGATAATTTTTTTTTAATTTACAATTTATAACAATAAAAAGCTTTCAAAAAGGTGAAGAAATAAATGACGTTTAGTAGAAATAAATATTTAACATATACAAATTTAATCTTATTGGTTTGATCATCTATGCATTTTTTGTAGTGCACGTGTTAAAAGCTCCCATATAATTTTCATCAAATTGACAAAATTTGTGTTGATTTTTTTCACTTCCTGAGTGAAAAAAAGTTATTAATTTTAAATATAAATAACTTAACCATGTTATATTTATTTATTTATTTATTTATTTATTTAAGAAAATTGAGTAGTAAAATTGACGTTTCAATAAAAAAGTTTAAACAACATTGCTAAATCTCTCAAACAAATTTAAGAATTTAGTCCATTTATATCGTTTTTTGGAAAAAAAATATCTTGAAATCTGTGTAATATTTTAATGTTCAAATTATCAAAGTTATTTTAATCGATATATTTACTAATAATTGCATTTTTTTTAAATTTTACATCTTTTTTCAAAACGATGTACAATTATATCTAAATTATTTGATCAAAATTATGTTCAAATAATGATCATTTTGACTACTAAAAAAGTCAACAGAAACCTGTCTGAAATATTCAAATACTAGATTGGATTTATTTCAATATTAATAAGGTACAATATACATGGTCAAAAAATTTAAAAATTTTTAATTCTTAAAATACATGTTTTGCATATAAACGTTTTTTAAAAATTAATGCAAAAATCAATGCATATCATTATCATCATATATCATAGTTGCTATCAAGAAATTCATTCTCAAATTTATATTTGTTGTCTGCAAGATTGTATGGCAAAGTTTTGCTTGCTTTTTCACAACAAGTTTTAAAAGAAATCGTTGACTTTACCACATTTTTCTACTCTTGAAGATTCATCCTTGATTTACATTGTGGTTATGATCTTTTCAAGCCAATGTTTGTTTGCTTTTATTTTATTTTACAGTTTATACTCAATGTTGTATGAATGAAATAAAGGATTAAAA